CGTCTTTAGGCATGAGCTAGCTTCTGTAAGCTCCTTGTGCGTTCCAATAACATTTATATCATCAATATAATACAGAAGCCATGTTTTTTTTGAATTTCTTTATAAACACACAAGGGCAAACATCATTATTTGCATATCTCCTCTTCAGGAGGAACTCAATCAGTCGTTTATACCACATTCTACCTGACTGTTTCAAGTCATATAACGACCTTTATAATTTAATGCTATACATGTTACGATTCTTGTTTTCTCTTAATTCAGGAATTTTAAGTCCATCAGGGACTTTCATATAAAAATATTAGCGTCTAATGACTCATATAAAAATATGGTCATAACGTACATATACTGCATATATAAATTCATAGTTTCTGCTATAGGTATTAACTTGTGGAACATAATACAATCACTAATAGGAGAATATTTTACATCTAAATCGATGTCAGGTCTCTGCATGAACCCATAGAGCTATGAATCTCGCTTTATATCTCACCACCCTACAATTCTTATTTATTTTTCTTATGAAGACCCATTATATCCTGCATGGATATATGAACTACAGGTTCAAAATACTTTAGCGAGTTCGGCTCAGCCTCAATTGCCACTTTCCATCTCACCTAGTCCGAATGCTTCAAGCACTCTACTACCGCCTTAGGTTCTGGATCCAGATTATTTTCGGAGATAGTAAGAGCAACTGTAGAGGCAACTATGTTGTCGACAACTTTTATATTGATATTATATATTTCTCCTTTTCACAAATTCGTGGCCACTTTATTTCTTATTTTATGTCAACCAAATCCTCGTCCTTTCCCTTAACAATTGGATTTGGTCGTTCTGCATCTCCAATATTATGATTATCAAGTGCACGTGCAATTTACTGGAGATTCCATCTTCAGGATGAACCTCTTCTGGAGGTTATGGGAGTGACTGTCTTTCTATATATATAATTTAGTTTGCCGCGGACTTTTATCTTTTTTTATATGCTTCTGGCACAATATGCTTCTGGCATACCAAATCATCAATGATATACTCAACATGAATATGGGGCTTAGTTACTCTTTTCTTAGCAGATTAGCATGTGAACTTCTGGTTCAGTTTGACTAGTACGTGGATATAAATATTGAAGATCTTGACATTATTTTGTATTTTGGGCACTAATCTCCCCCTAATGTCGAGAATTGATCTTCAATGAAAATGCAGTCAGCGTACCAAATTATAAATTGATCCCCTAACATGGGCCATAGGTACTAAATTATTGACGGAGTTTCATAAATAATGTATGTACCTTCACCGAGGTCCCATAGAGGTACGCTATGGTGGTGATATAGAAACATGGACTGCAAATAAAGAACACGCAGATGGGAAATGTTTCGCTTCTTCACCACGTATTAGATAAAGGGGCCCTCGTTCGAGCTTATGAATATTAGTTTGAATTATGACATGTGCTTCAGGCACTACGACTGAACCAATTAAACTTGCATTATGGTTTCTCACAACAGCTGGTTGTATTTTTAACAACTACTAATGCAAGGATTAGTTCATAATGCTTAATATAATTTTTAGTTGTACTATTGTAAGAGTACAATGTTACTTGTTGAATTGTATTCAGTCGAGGATTTAAAATCCAAAAAAATGGCTACAGGATAAGATCTCCTACTATGTTTATAGCCTCCCCCTTGTCCACGCGTATAAGTAATTTTCTGAATTGTAGCATGTGATACAAACACAACTCGTAAGTTAACTAGTCTGACATTGTGATTTCTAATCATCAATTGATTGTGCTTCTATGCGACTACTAATGTAGATATCAATTCAGAATGCTAAGTGCAATTCTTGGTCATGTACTGCTGCTGGAGTACAATATTATTTATGTGGAATAGGGAAAAGAATTTTTCGATCAAATTATTGGCTTCCATAGATCAAATCGATCCTTCTGGGATAGCCCAGAAAAGTGAATATTTTTTTTATTGAGGCATTTAATTTTTCACGTCTTAGAAAATTTGAAAGTGTTTGTCTTCTGGACAAAGATACTTAAAGAATCAAGAGATATAATCGTGTAAAAATCACAATTGTGTCCAGTCAAAATGAACATTCGAGGCCAAAGACAAGTAATAATTACTATCATATATCACATTGCACTAATCATGGGGAAGAAAGATTAATGCATGAGAAATTAGAAATATTCACATTTTAATAAGATCACACATAATCACCAAAATCATCAAGTTCCTTTTTTTTTCTAAAGATTTTCATAAATGTTATCTTTCAAATGTTTGCTTCTGGCAAACTAGCATGATGTTTCTCACCTTGTTTTGCCTTAATTAAAATGTGAAAGAGGTTCCCTTTCAATATTATATCCATAAGTAGTAATTGATTGGAAGTATTCAAACGTTAAATAAATACTCTAAAGTTTCCAAAAAGTAAGCTAAGCAAGCATCTAAGACCTAGGCTCTAGCCATGCATCAATGGTTTAGAAATTTAAATTTAATGACATAAGAAAATGTGAAATGAAGGAAATTCAGTAACTCATTGAAATAATGAGGCACAAGTCACAGTGAAATATAATAAGATGCATAAACTTCTGGGCTATGGTTTAAGCATTTCATCAAATATAGTAGGCTACATAAACTTCTAGGCTACAATCTAGCCCTAGGCCACCTTTTGTGGTGTTGGAAGTGAATATAACATAGCTAGGGACACAAGGGAATAATACTTAATAGAATAATAGACTTCACAGTCTGTGAGTCGCTCCTGACATGTATTCGTTAGCAATAATTCCTGATGAGCAGTTTATTTATAGGATGATTTCATGTGTAATAAACTACTGACTAATGTCTTTCCATAATTAACAAATAATCATATTTTGAAAAACATCTCTTGAGTCCCGATCCCAAAACGAGATTAATTCTCAATTAACAGGAATAAAAATATAATCATTTATATGTACAAAATCTTGAAATAGATGACAGCGAAACAAACTGCCTTCTTTCACAAACTAGTGTTATGCTTAATAACATATCCAATGATAATAAGATTCAAATTGTTCAATTATTCAAATTGTTCAATTATTCTCAACTAACTTGGGAAAAACCAAGTCTTTCATTTTGTCGAGATAAAAGTTAGAAGGGCACAGATTCAACTTAGTGCAAAGTTAGCTTCATAATTAATTGGTGCGAAACGACAGACTACATGTATTGAAAATAATGCGCTCAATATACCAAAGCAATTGTTTCAACTACTATGTTAAAGGCATTATTGTGGGACAAGAATACATTAAACTTCCCTTTTCTCCAAGTCACCAGTAAAACCAATTTGCTTGTGACCTGCATATGTTTTTGTTTCAATTTTTCTAGAGTGAAACACAACATTTTCAGCATGCCACCTATCTACCACTGTCCAAAAACATGCCTGTGTATGCATCAGTATATGCATGCATGCGTAAATTGAAATTGACGAACAAGACAGTCCACTGTGTTAATTTTCACAAAGTTAACTGGAGAAGCTTAAATTCTGAAATATAATCATAATCATTCGACGGAAAGCTTGATACTATGTAAATAGACAAAGGCCGAATGCATTATTACCTTGCAGAAGGTGTATACCTAAAAATCTATTACTACGAACCGATGATCACGAACCGATTAGAGCCACTCGTGCTGATAACGTGTTGTAATTAATCTTGTTGTTATATCTACATACATCACATATCATAAGTAAGAATCGAACATGAATTGTAAATGTAAATAGACAAGAGAAGAGATAGGGAGAAAGTGATCATCTCATTTTATTCATCTTCATTTCTCCATACATTTTGTCTTCCATGGATTACATTATATAGATGTGGAAGGGAATACTAAAAGTCACAAGTAGGTGAAGAGATTTCTTCTAGTAATGTCCACATTCATTGTATTTATATTTACAACAATAAATATAATATAGATTACAGCCATTTACAGCCCTAATTTTCGGACCCAAACTCAATACATAAATTTAAAAAATAGCAATAATAACTATTTAGAAGATGCGAACGGAGACCTTTGAGGAGATGATTCTTTGTTTGAGGAGATGATTCTTGTTGGAGGAGGAGTTCTCCTCCTCTAATTTACTTCGTCTAATAAAGAAATGTGAGGAATGGAAACAAAAAATAAACGAATCGGAACTAGAGAGGCATGCGCGTATAATAACGGGTATTTATAAACAAAAAAAATGACGGGATATTTGTAAATTAAAAAAACGCGTATGATACGCGTGAGATATACGCGTGAGAATTTGCACGTGAGAGAAAACATGCGCATGAAATAAACTCCGTATTTTGGCGAGATGTAACGACCATGGATAACTATAAGCCCATGTGCTATGAAGTATGTGAAGTAAATGAAAAAGGCGTCATTTATGTTACTTTCGAGAAGAAAAGTATATTTGTTTCTTTAAAAACTCTACTTCCAATACTTCCTTAGAAGTTGATGTGGCACCTACATGACATCTCTACTTTTTGAATCTTTTTCCTCCCCTCAAAGCTCTGAATACCTCGGAAGTAGATTAAATTGAGTCGATTTAGGAATAAAATCATTTTTGTTATTATATGGATATTTCCATACTCTAAATAAGATTCCGAAAAAACGAAACAAACAAAACAAAGTACTTCCGCTACTTCCAAATTCATTCAAAAGTAATAGATTTGATTTACTTCTTACTTCTAATACTTCCTATCAACCAAACATGCCTTGCAGATATGAAGATGAAGAAGGAAAACATAGAAATCGACGACGACGAAGAGAAACCATTTCAAGAATCGATAGCCCAAAGCCTATCCCCGGACAAATCCAGCGGTTCGACTCCTTAGGTATGAGTGAAGTATCTATAGCGTTCTAATTGCAACTCAATGTTATGATGACTAAAGTTTCTGCAACTTTTGTCGGATGGCACTCAAGAACTCAAATTCATCTTCTTTACTAATACATACAGGAGATTAAAACTGCAAGATTTTCGATCCAAATCCCTAGTCTTGTCACGACTTTATTAATATATAACCCAATCTCACGGCTACATTAATTAATTTGGCTAATTAAATCGAAAGGCGGGAAATTGGAGTAGCCTCCAAATGAGCTACCCTCGACATAATAAACCCAAACCTCTCATCCATTTCCAACCCAGAAGGCGACACGCCGTGCGGAAGTCTCCAGTCAAAGCAATGAACTAGCTGGGCCAGCACCAGCGGCACCACCGACAGCCCGAAGCTCATGCCGGCACAAATTCTACGGCCGGATCCAAACGGAAAATAGTGAAAATCATGGCCCTTGAACTCCGGGCTGGTTTTCTCGAACCTCTCGGGTATGAACTCCTCGGCGTTGGGCCAGAAGTCCGGATCCCGGGCCACCGCCCAAGAGCATAACGTGATGTTCGAGCCGGCTGGGATACGGTAGCCATCAAGGGAGATGTCCATCCTGTTGCGGCGGGAGACGAAGGCAGTTAACCCATGGAGCCTGAGTGATTCTTTGATCACCATCCCCAAATAGGCGAGTTTCGGTATGTCCGACTCCTCGACCATTCGACGAGGGCCCACAACTCTCATCAGTTCGTCTTGAAGCTTCTTCATGATCCTAGGATGCCTTATCAACTCGGTGAAGGCCCAGTCGATGCCGTAGGAAGTTGAATCTAGAGCAGTCATGAGCACCTCCTGCAACGAATTATCGAGTCGTATTCCTGAATGTTATTAAAATGTCTGGCATGCATAATATCGTTTAATAAAAATATTTATAGTATCATATAAGATCGGTTTTGTTAGTTTCATCGTCATACAAATCAGAGTACATAAGCGCAAAACAAGGATGTTTTTTAAGGTATTTAAATGGCAATACATTAACAATGCATAAAACAACTACGCCCACTAGATGGAAATTGTCATGTGAATGTGCATGCATGGTTTCCTTACCATAAGTATAGCCTTGATGCTACTCATGCAAACTTGCGACTCCAAATTGCCCATATCATTCTTGGCATCCAACAAGACATCCACAAAATCATTCTTCCTCTTTTGCCCCTTCTCCCTCAACATTAGATGCTCGTTGATGATCATCTCGAAGAAGCGACCTATCTTTTCTCTCACCGCCTTCGTCCTCCTCCTGATCCCTTGAAGATCAAACAAGCTGAGGAAAGAGGACTAAATCCCTCGACATGTATCAATGCATCGACTAAACGACTAAAATTTGTAGCTAGGTTTGATTTGATGTCCAACTGGTCTACAAACTATTTTAATTCAATTCTATGTATCACGCATTTATGCACATTATTAAGTTAAAGTAAGTAACCTTCGCAGTGACGTCAACCACAGCTTTCTCCTCAGCCGCAACTTTCAACGAGTCAACAAGACTCTCGATCTCCTCCCTCTTAACAAACTCATATGACTCAACCTTGCCCGAACCAAGCAAATTGTGAACACATAACTTACGAACGTTACGCCAGTACGTTCCATGCTCGGTAAAGGCGAACCCTTTGAAGCCATAAGATAAAATATGTAGAGCCTCAGCCGGAGGCCGGTTGGAGATGGCAATGTCGTGGTTCTTGAAGAGTTTCTCGATGAGGGAAGGGGAGGAGATGAAGATGGATGTGGTTGAGCCGAGTTTGAGGTGGACGATGGGGCCGTATGTTTTGGTGAGGCTGGAAATGAAGCGATGGGGGGAGGAGGTTAAAATGTGCAGGTTTCCGATGATGGGGAGTGGGCGGGGACCTGGTGCAAGACGTTTAGGGCCTCGGAGGTAGAAGATTACGAGGATCATTACGATTAAGGGTAAGAGGAGGACGACGAGTGGGGATGCCATGGCCGAAGACTAAAGTTCGGGTTTGATGACGCAGCGCGGAAGTGATAACCTTGGAATCCACCAAGATTGTTCTCTGAATCCACAAAGAACGATATTCAAATCCACGAAAACAATATTGAAAAGAGAAATTTTATTGATAAAAAGATATTATTCTTTGGGGTTAGATGACTTTTCTTAAATAGAAAAAATAAATAAAACTACAATAAGACTAAAATTACAAAAAATATAAAGTATCAAATTCTATCCTAAAAAGACTCCATATAATAGAGGAAACAAATTATGAATCAAAATTAATTTGTTTACTAACCTAATTTGACTCTAATATTAAATTTATTTCCTAATCTAAATAGACTCCAACTTTATTACTAAAAATAAACTAAAAGCTAATTGTTTTCGGATTTTAGTCAAATCTAGGTATTACTGATGAGATTTTAAAATCTGATAATCTAGTTGGCTTCGTCTCGTCGAGATAGGAGATTTACATATTAGTCAAAATCCGCCTTATGGGTTGGAAGATATGGTTGTTTCTTTGCGGAAGTCAATAATACGTATAAATCTGTATTTAGCTCGTGATTGTCTAAATCCCCCATATAATTGTCTGTTAAGTGTCCTACATTAGTCTCCCCTTGTTGAAAGAAGCTCGACCCCGAGCTTATATTTGGTAGAATAGTAGCTTTATTGATAAAGAATTTTCTTGTCTTACAACGATCAGTATCTGCCTTGTACTTAGCATTGATCTTCTCCAACTGTTGTTTTGCCTATTCGGCTAGGACTTCTTCTGAATCAAATTTTGAATTATATTTCACACACCATATTTACGTGACTGACAGCATGTGGATCTGCAATTGACTTGAAAACTCCTCAAAATATGTTCTATGCTGCCTCTCATATTCTAGTGATTGAAGTATTATCAAATTCTATCCTAAAAAGACTTTCTATAATAGAGGAAATAAATCATGAATCAAAATTAAATTTGTTTCCTAATCTAATTTGACTCTAATATTGAATTTATTTCCTAATCTAAATAGACTCCAACTTTATTACTAAAAATAAACTAAAAACTGATATTTTTGAATTTTAGTCTAAACTAGGTATTACAGATGATATTTTAAAAATTTGACAATCTATTTGGCTCCGTCTCGTAGAGATAGGCGATTTACATATATAATATGTTAGAATACGTCTTCTGGGTTGGAAGATATGATTGTTTCTTTGCGGAAGTCAATAATACGTATAAATCTGTATTTAGCCCGTGATTGTCCGAATCCTCAATGAAATTGTCTGTTAAGCATTCAACATCATTTGAGGAGCTAGCTAGATTGAGGTAATTGGTGTGAGGAGGTAGGATGAGGAGAGAACACATTATATAGGCCATCTCATCGAAGATTGAAGAAGATTTGCCTAAGATTTGCTCAATTACTACTTGTGTTCTTCCTCCTTGGCATGTATCGGAGGCAACTCTTCCATATCTCCTTTTGAGCAAGATTTGCTGAAGCAGACCTCCATGCCAAATCTTGAGAGCCATGTGGTGGAATGGTATCAACCTATCGGACGATTCTGGCACCGATGTGATGATGTCATCAATGCTATCATCAATCTTACCGCAGATGATATGGTTATTAATATATACTTATATAGGCTTACATACAGTATATAGCAAACTAATATGTAAGTATATACTAATGCATACTTATATAATTATGATAAAAATCTAATTTTTTAATCAATTTTTAGCCAAAGGAAAAATCCGGGCCGACCTAACTCGGACCCGGGTCCGGCTCAAGCAACCTGGGTCCAGGTTCGGGTTAGACATTTTTCCCGACCGGGGCCTAGAAATCCGGGCCGGGCTGGCCCATTTGAACAGTCCTACATATATACTTTAATTTAAAATTTCATGAAATTGGAAGAACTATTTTTCTCAATTCCATAACAAACTGAAACCACATCAAGATGCAAGCCATATTTCACAATTCTATTATTGAACGCACAAATGCATGTAACTTGAGACCTCATATCCCAATACCACTTGAAATGTAAAGATTACATGAAAATATGATATGTGTATATATATGGTTCTTTTCTGTTTTAATCCCCGCAAGTTTTTAAGTGATTTGAAATTAGTCCATATGGTTAGACGTGGATTCAAATAGAAGAAATATTGTTCATTTTTGGGTGCGATAGTAGTTTAACCAATTAGTATTCAAATACAAAATCTTAAATTGAGCACAAACTGGGGAATGTTATGCAATATTTACTTAAATCTATTGTTGAACTTGGTTTTGATGTTGGTTTTGGTTGATTTTGTTGTGCGCGGCGGAACAAACACAAACGCAGAGATAGAAAACCAAAAACAATCCAAAATAATGGCACTAACTCAAACACAAAAGTTTAACGTGGTTCGGCAAATTGCCTACGTCCACAAGGCAAAAAGGTATGGGTTTCCACTATAGAGAAAGAGAGTACAAAGTAGAGATTACAAGATCACTCAACTAACCTCTCAAACAAATCTCTCAAATCTCTTAAACTAAACCCTCAAACAAATTGCTCAGAAAGATCTCTCTTTTCTGTGCTCAAAATCACCTTCAAGCTACCCAATCAATCTATAGGAAACCCTAAAAAACGTGGCTCTATTTATAACAAAACATAATCCCAAACAGATTAGGAATCTAAAACGAGTCTGCCACACCCTGGTGTGACACACACCACACCCATGGCAAACAAGTCAGATTCTGCCACATCAGGGTGTGGCAGACACCACACCCATGATAAACAGGGCAGATTCTGCCATACCATGCAAACTGGGTGTGACAAATACCACACCAGGGTGTGGTGGAGTCTGTCTTGCTTATTTTTTACATTTTTCTCAATTCTTTTCCTCAATTTCTTCGTCGTTTCACAATTCTCCACCTCAGCGAAGTTTTTTTAAAACTGAGCCGACACTAACCAAATCAAACGTCTCACTTGTTGCGTCCAGTACGAAGTGAAATAAAACCATGACAATGAACTCAATTCACAACAAGTCGAGACCCAAACGAGAATACGAACACTCTCTAAATATCGGTATCAACTCACCAAATCGGTTGCATCAAATTGACCAAGAATTAATGTTCGACATCAAACATCCAATGGAGTTTTACCTCCAATCATAGCAGTCGACAACCTATGACCAAGATGACCCAAATATGTCAAAGCCTCAACACCAGAATCAATGTTCGACATCAAACGCCGGTCCTCCTCCAGCAAGGAATAACTCATCAAATCTGTCATCTCATCTTGTTGTCCCAAGATTTTCTTTCCACCGAAGTGTCTCAAAATACCGTGAGCTCAACTCGAATGCAAAAACAAGTCCCTCTTGTACCTCCCACCAAAATCAGAATGAAGTACCTTCACCTTTCTGCCAATCTCACACTTCTTCAATCTGTTGGAGACTACTAGGTATTTATCCAAAGGGGATTTGGTTACAACCCAAACACGCCTAGAATAACCATCAACAAAGGAAATCAAACATCAATTACCTCCCAATGATGCCTCTTTGGAAGGCCCCCAAACATCTGTGTGAACTCCACCTAAAAGACCCTTAGAGCAGTGAATATAGGTGCCAAACTTCACATCGGTCTTCTTGCTCACATCAAAGTGTTCACCGGACTTCAAATTATAGGTATGTGCACCTATCTCCAAATCAATACTAGAATGACTAAGCTCCAAATGTCGTAGTCTAGTCGAATCAATAGAAGTCGCTAGCTCTCTACCTATTATCGAACTTCTAATCAAATAGTACAGGTTATTCCTTCTGGCGCCCTTCATCATAATCAAAGAGTTTCACGATCTCGAGAACCATGTCCTCAACACGAACCTTCAGACCCTCTCCAACCAAAGCTCCAATTGAGATTAAGTTCTTCCCCAAGAAAGAAACATATCTCACACCATATAACTCCCTAACTGTCCTGTCAAACATCTTGATGTGAATTATTCCTATCCCAAGGATCTGACATGCACGGTTGTCACCCATGTACACCACACCACTATCCAACTTCTCAAAATCGGAGAACCATTTCTTTCTAGGGCACACATGATAGGTCGCACCACTATCCAACATCCATTCGGATTCCTCCGAATAGCTACCCGTAGGACTGATAGAAAGCGAATAAATAGAAGTATCAGAAATATTATCATCCGATATAACGATATTTGCTTCTGATGATGGTAGCTTTATTTTTCCCTTCTGTTTATTCTTCATCCATTCGTCAAGCTTTGGACAATCTTTCTTCCAATGATTAGTCTCCTTGCACCAAGCACACTGATCTTTTCTAATTGTAGGATGCCCTACTCTAGACTGTGACTTCCAAATCTTTCGGTTTGAATTCTTCCTTCTTGCAACCAACACATCCGCTACTGTGTCACTTGTAGACTCCTTATCTTTATTTCGAAGTTGATAGTTAACAAGTGCAGCGATGACCTCACTATACGAAAGAGATGCTTTCCCATTGATAAGAGTAAGGACGAAAGTCTCATATTCCTTGTCAGGCAAGGAACTTAATAACAACAATGTCTTGTCCTCATCTTTAATCATAACATTTACATTCACCAAATCCGCAAGAAGTTTCGTGTAGTGGTTCATGTGATCACCAATAGAGGTTCTTTTCTTCAATTAGAAGCGATAAAACCTCCTCTTCAAATGTAAGTGATTCTCCACACTATTTGTCAAATACTTGCTCTCAAGGATCTCCCAAATCTTCTTAGCTGAAGTCTCATTGATCACATCATACTTTAAATCTTGAGTCAAACAAGACCTAATCACATCACACGCCGTTCGATTCATCTTCTTCCAAACCCTCTCATCAATATCATCTGGCTTGCCATCCAATTCCAAAGTATCTTCCAAATTTTGCGCGTTGAGCGCATCCAAGACTTCACATCGTCAAAGTCCAAAATTGTTAGTGTCATTAAACTTCTCCACG